TGCGTGTAGGTGAAGATTCTGTGCAGAGATTACAAAAAGCTGGGCATCTGCTGAAATGAAATCTTGAAACCCTTAGCTTGTCGATTTAGATTTTATTTTTTTTACCTGTTTAATGTATCTGGATTCCTGAACAATGACTAGTGGACAAAAATGAAAATCTTGGCCTTGAAATCTACTGGCTACACAAGTGCTTACCAGCAGAGACTATGGCAGTGGTGGGGTTTCTGTTAAAGAAATAAGCTGCCCTAAGCACTAGCATGATTACCTGTTAATTTCACAATTAACTCGAGCTTCCTACAGCAATACTTGGTTTTGTCTCATGGCAAGATGAGCAAGAAGAAAGAAAAAAAACAAAACGATGAAGTAGTTAAACCTAATAAACTTGGGTGCTAACAGTTTAGCTCAGTGAGTTAACAACTACATCAAAAACATAGAATAGAGCCCAGGGGTCGATAAAAGTGGAGAAATTGGAATCATACTCAAAGCAGTTCATGGTAAGTCTGAGTTTCTTTGTAACCTGGAGAGGCAGGGCAGCAGAGATGAGAAGGATGATAAGGGACTGCTCTGAATGGGTGTCACAAGGAAAGCTTTACAGCAAAAATGTCTGGACTGGGAGCCAAGTGAACGACCTGAGGCTGGAAAACTTGTTTTTTTGGTTTTGTTTGGTTTTTTTTTTTTTTTTTGGATGAATGGCTGCAAGAGGTGCTTAATGTTGACAGCCAAATTGATCTGGACAGACTGCACTGTTTTTTAGATTTAATGCGAACTCCGTTGGTTTTAAAAATCTACCAGTGAGAATAGTGAAATGCACTTACTGGACCCCCACAAACACCTGCTGAAATGATGACGACAAAGAACAGGTTAAAGATGGAGTTTATTTTGAGTTTGGATTGCTGATTGTTGTGTGGTCTCTATTTGTTTCAGTTGTTTTTTTCCTTCATCATGATTTATAAGTGGGAAAATTCCTATATGAAGGAAAAACCCTGCAATACAAACAAATACAAATGATTACGAGATCATCTAAGCAAAGTATACTATCAGTAATGTGTTCTTTATCATTTTTATCATTGTTGATTGTTGTTGTTGTCCATTTTTTCCTTCCTTGGCCTTAGGTATCAGACTGTACTGCAGTTTTTGGCTGTTTTATTGTTGTCAGGTGTGTGTCAGCTGCTGAACACCTGACCTTGAGCGGATGCTAAGCAGGGAAGCATCATATGAACGGCTAACAGGGCTAACATGTGCAGAGCTTGTAGACCACGGGACAGCACACTGTACTCATATTTTAGCTCTTAGCTTCTTTCTGCTTTGCGTATCTTTCTCCTCCAGCTCTTCCTCCTCTCTCTTTATTAAGCTTTGTTTTTCTTTTGGACTTCCATCCTCATTTTTCCTCTCCTTCCACTCCTCCTTCCAGCCCCTTAGTCCTGCTGTCGTCTATTTTTAGCTCCTCGTGTGTTGAGCAGAAGAGGTGCGTGAAAGCATGGGAGTGTGTCTGGATTGCGGGGGAGAAAGGTGCAGGCTGGTGTGCGTGTGTGTGACTGTGTGGGTATGTTTGGGTCTCCATCACGCTACACCAAATTGCCCACCACGAGGCACACTCTGCAGTCTTCAGACAGTTATTAGGAGTAGGATGTTGACAGTGCTGGGCTAGATATGACAGTAATTACTACCTAATGAAGCTGCTAAATTTAGTGCTCTATATTGAGTAATTCAATTTAATCCTCACATTATGTGGTTTAAAATAACTCGCTGCTCATGTGTGCAGAATCAGGACACAAACAAGTTCATTGACAAAGTTTTACTAAAAGTGCAAACATTCAGAAATATGAAAGGTATTAAAACAACCTGAGAATGTCATGAGAAATTAAGTTGGTGCCATGTAGCAGTGTAGATGTTTAGTACTTCCTTCGCTTCCTCCCTGCCTTTATAGCCACAGATAATTATTGACTCTTGAAATTAAACAATCATAGTATAGCCAATCATCCTTATGCAGATCACAAACATGATGATCTTACCTCTTCATAAACTGAAAGGTGGCATTGATGACATAAACTGTTGGATGTCTTGAAACTTTTTAGAGCTGAATAGAGTCTCTGAAACCTTGACAGTGTTTTAGACAGTGATCTCAATTTAGATCTCAGAAATGCTTTCTGCTACTTAAAATCAAGTGTTAGAAAATGTCTAAGTAAAATATGAAACTGACTCATGAAATTGATTCATGTATTCACATTGAGCAAACTAGATTATTTTATTTTTGTATTTGTATTTGAAGGATTATCCAAATTATCAGTAGGACAATTCACTCAGAATGCATCAGCCCAGTGTCCTTACAGTTACATGGAAATTTGAACATATTACTCCTGTACTGAAGTCACTGCACAGATTCCTAGTTTGTTACAGAATTACCCTTAAAATCTTTGACTTGCTCAGTGTCTGTAACCCAGTCAGATCTCTCAGGTCATCAGGTGCAGACTACTGTCCCCAGAATTAGATCTAAGTGTGCTGATGGTGCTTTAAGTTCCCGTGGACCTGTTCATTGGAACAAGCTGCCTGCTGACCTGTTATCATTATAAACCTACACAGATGTTTTAATCTTCTGCGTTCAGTGCATTGAATTGAAGTATAATGAAATGTGCTCTATAAAAAATGCCATTGCCATTATATACGTCACATAAATACTTAAAGGAACATGTTGTTTTGCTAACATAGCAATATTGTAAAGGTGTTATTTTTATATAAATTGTATGATATTTTAACGTTACACTGTCATTGTCCTGTTTTAGTGCACGTGCCTTAAGAATTCAGTTATTTAGTGCAAATGAACATCATTGTTAAACAAAATGGTAAAATTTGAATTTCAATGTACTGATAAGCCCCCTTTTTCTTGTTTTTGAGACAGTAAAACTTGGACATCAAATCTGATGCAACCTTCTTATGTAGGATTCCCTTTTTAATCAGAATGATTGTAGTCAGAAATAAAATTAATAATATAATGTTAAGCTTACTGATTACACTCAGTCTTAATTATTTCTAACAATCATCAGAAGCAGAATAATTTAGCTATGAAAGTCAGTATTTTAGAATGATTAGATTTGACCGATGACCTTTGATTTCAGCATGTTACCAGGAGTGTCTTGTGAGCCCTCTGCTTCCTGTGGAAATGTTTCTGGGCTTTGGTTGACTTGGAGGTACATTGGGGATCATTGTGGTCCCCACTTGTTAAAACCAGTGCTAATACTAATTCCCATTTGACTGCCATTCCATTTTTAATGTCCACATGATGTTGCCAGTTGTGTCTCTTGGAACTTAAAATTTCTTTAGAAACCTCTTAATCATGACTTATTGTTAGTTTGGTGTAAGGAAATAATTACGTGTCTTTTGTAGCCACGTTTGCGTCTTGGCTGTAAAGGCAGGAACTGCATCTGTATGGCAGCTGAAGCTTATTTTGAAGCTTAGTTGTTACAGAGTTCACAAAAGTTTCAAACTAAAATTTGTTTTTTGTTTGTTTGCTTTGTTTTTGCAACCGCTTTGGTAGTCTTGTGTTGAATTATGTGATTTTTGGGAGAAGGTGATTTATTTGTGTTGTGCATTAATATTATATTATTGTGTATAATGCAGATATAAACATTTGATGAGAGACAATAAAATTTGAGTTTGGCCTTCTTTTCTGAATTTGAGTTGTCCCCTGTTGAGTAGTAGTAATAATGATAATGATAAAAACAGTAATGATAATTAAGAACTAATAATAATTAAGAAAGGCTATGATTATAGCCTTTTCTTTATAGATGCAGATTTTAAACCCATATATTTAACACCTGGTTTAACTTGTATACAGGGTTGTGCATTGGCCTATTGAAATCTAAAGCTATGGTGGGGCTGTTGGTTCTTTATTTGTTTTTTCCTTGTGTGGATTGCTCCAAGATTAATAATAGAAATATTTCCTGTAAGCTGTACTAAAACATGTGGTTATTGTTTTCCTTACAGCAGCGCTTTACTTACAAATGCTGTGTACTGGGGTCTAGAAAGAGACTGGGCAGATTCTTGCTGCCTGATTGCCTGTGTTTGTGGGGCGATGAGAGATTTTAAAAGTCAAATTCACAAGTTCTGTGTTACAATGAATGTTTCTAATTTTAGCAGTGTGAAACATCATGTTTAAGTCTTGGGGTGATTATGAGAAACACTGGCACCAAGGGGAAAAAAAAGAACGGGGAGGAGTGGGAGGGTGGTGGAAGGAGGGCAGCCTCGTGTCTTTGCAGTTGATCATTGGTTGGAACCACTGGGAAGGGGGTGGTGCCTCAGTGCCACTGTTTCTGTAGAGAGAGGCAGAGCGAGCGAGGAGTGTGAGAAAGAGACAGCAAAGGAGAATAAATGAACACTGGGGGTTCTCCCAGCATCGGTATGCCTGCCTGCCTGATTTCCACTACAGACAAAGGTGATGCCCTTCCCAGCTGAGGTGGGCGTGCGTGCATTTTGAATACCGGTCACCTCGCACACCTTCTTCAACCTCACAGCTCAAGGCATTCTGCTGTGATCTTTCTGCGAAGGACTGGACAGAAACTGAGGCAAGAGCAAGCAGAGAGGCGGAAACGGCAGCAAGAAATCAGAGCTGGAGGATAAGAAACGGGGGGGAAGAGGAAAGACCAGCAAATTAATGGACTGAATAAAAATGATGCTTAATCTTTTATGTAAATTATGTATGCAGCACATTAAACAATAATGTCTCCTCACTGGAAGCTGTGTCTGTGACTCTGTGGACTGTAGACAGAAAAGAGAGAGATTCAGTCTGGGATTTCTGCAGCTGCAGCAGATGTTGATGACATCTCAGACTATATAGGGAAGGGAGGCATTTCAAGCAAGTCGGACTGGAATTCCTTAAAAGTCAAATTTTTGTCTCTTTGCTCTTCTTTGTGCCTTCAACTGGGAATTTTGCAGTACCGAAACAGGAAAAAGAAAAGGACCTGTATTGCATCATTTGGAAACCTTAACAGCCTGCTCTGAAGACAATTCCTGGGGACTTTCTCACCTTTTTATGGTCTTTCAGTCTTTCATTCATTTGAAATGATAAACGCCAGCAGTCTCATTATGGAGCACTGCATTTGGACTGAAACCATACAGCTTCTCTGAGCTCTACCCAGCGACGGGGCAAAGTAGTGGCTTCTAGGATTTACTGTATCCTTGAAGAGCCCTTCGGACAGATATTTCTGCCCAAGATGATGAATTCCTCGCTGGATCCACTGAACCAGAGCTCTGCTGACTTCTCAAACTCATCTGCTCCCTTTTGCTTACTTGAGATAGGCTATTCCCAGATTTTCACGACCTGCCTCCTTGAAGTTTCGATCATACTTCTCCTGACTGTTCTCATTATTTCTGGTAACCTGGTGGTGATTTTTGTGTTTCACTGTGCCCCTCTGCTCAGCCAGCACACCACCAGTGCTTTCATCCAGACTATGGCATATGCCGATCTGCTGGTGGGAGTCAGCTGCCTTTTCCCCTCCCTGTCCCTACTCCATCATCTTCAGAGCTTCGATCCCAAACTCACCTGTCAGGTGTTTGGGTACATGGTGTCTGTTTTAAAGTCGGTTTCAATGGCGTCTTTAGCATGCGTGAGTGTAGACCGCTACATCGCCATCACACGGCCTCTGACTTATGCATCCCTAGTGACACCTTGTCGAGTGCGCTGCTGTATTGTGTTGATATGGCTTTACTCTGCTCTGGTGTTTCTCCCATCTTTTCTTGGATGGGGGAAACCTGGTTATCATGGCGATGTTGTGGAGTGGTGCGCAGTGGAATGGAGGACAAGTCGGGCTTTCACAACCTTCATTGTTACGCTGCTCTACGCTCCAGCTGCTCTAACTGTCTGTTTCACCTACGCAAACATCTTCAAGATCTGCCGACAGCACACCCGGGAGATCAGTGAGCGCCATGCACGTTATGGACCTCAGCAACTGCAGGGCCCAAGAATCGCAGTTGGCTCTGTGGTCAAGGACAACAGTACAGTAGAGCAAGGACAGTTACCCCACTTGTCCCAACCCCAGTATCAGCAGTCCACATCAGCATACCCAGACAGACGTTATGCTATGGTGTTGTTTCGCATTACTAGTGTGTTTTATATCCTTTGGTTGCCCTATATCCTCTACTTTCTGTTGGAGAGTGGAGGGATCTACCACCACCCTGCAGCATCATTCCTTACCACATGGCTGGCTATTAGTAACAGCTTCTGTAACTGCCTCATTTACAGCCTCTCCAACTCTGCCTTCAGGAAGGGCCTCAAACGTCTCTGCTCTTTCTGTTTGCAGCGCAGCGGCAGCAACTGTGGGGTTAGGAACACCAAAAAGGCTTTTTTTGGTTCTGCTGAAAAGGGGTGGGGATATGGTCATGGGGAGATGAGAACTGGTACAACATGTCACGTGTAGGGTAAACACTTTTGCCAAATTGGCATTTGGACACGTAAGAAACGGCTGAAGTGATGGCTGTTAAAATGCTGCTAAAATGTGCTGTAAAGAGATGGAACGAGGCGTTGAATAGCCTATGCCGTTTCTGTTGCATTTGGAAGTTAGACAGGCATCCTCTCTGCACAAGCCACAGCTGGCAAGTAGAATAAGTCGAGAGTAAATCTATGAAAATAAAAAAAAGTGGCTCTTTATGATGTTTTAAAATGGTCAAGGACAGGCATGATAGGTGGAGGGGGGTTGAAATAAGGAAAAAAAAAGGTATATGAGAGCCGTAGACGTAAAGTAACTTGAGGATGAACAAAATGTTTATCTACCAGTGTTCCTTTTTTAAGTGAATCCTTAAATTGTTATAACAAAAACCCTTACTGAAACTGTGTTGAAAAACTAAATGTGCCGTTTCTGAAATCAAGTGATTTCACTTCATTTGCCAGATCATCGTCACATAAGTAATACTGAATGAAGCGCAAGATAGATGAATGCAAACAGAACAAGTGACTTCTGTGATTAAGGATCGATGTACTGAAGCTAACTGATAATAGCCAGCTCGTTAATTATGGTTTTCAGTCCTCATACCATAAATCAGTGTTAAATATTAAAAATGATGCAACTTTTTTCTTTAAATATTTGTTCTCTCTTGTCGCTGAAGGAGTAGGTAGGTGTAGACCCACCTAGATTTACCGGCTTATAATTTTAGATTAACCTATTTATTGATGTTGCTCACAAATGTCTTTAAATGATTTGTGAGTTTGCACACTACATCCATTTTCTTTGTAATATAGTATGGTAACCAGCTTTGGCATATGACTGTTAACCTGACAAAATGCAGATGTAATGATTAGTGAATATCTCTTTCAAGTAATATGTCATTGCACCTTTGTTATGATTATGTAGCAAATGTGATTTTGTGTTTCTGGGGCACTAAAAGGCCGAGGAAGGATGTATTATTGCACTTATTTTATATTGATTATTGGTACATCTTTGGGCTAATTTTATTTATTTTTTTAAGAGATTTTTCTTGTTGGTTAGAGGAAAAACAAAGAAGCAAAGAAAAAAAAACCACAACTATATTTTCAACCACAAAAGCCTAAACTTATTAACTTTTTTTAAGGAACTGAACAATTTCTTTGGGCTGTTCCTAATGACTATTGTTCTTTAAAGATTTTTATGATTGCGAGACCGTCTGACTGAAATGCCAGAAGTACTTGACCAGTCAAAATTTTTCAGTGCTCCACCCACAGTTACTGCCCAAAAGCATTTACATTAGCATTCATATGAATAACCATTCAACTGTGAGCCTTACCCCTTATCTTTTGGATTGGTAGGGAGAAACAATCCTATTACATCCTGAGTCAGATATTTGTAATAATCTCAAATGATTCCTTTTTTTTTTTTTTGTTTAGTACAATCTTAGATGTTTGCTGTGTTGTGACTGCATTACTGTGCCTGCATTTGGGATCTAGTACACGTGTACGCAAACGAACAGGGATCACATGCAATCAGAACAGACAAATAGCCCATTCAGTCTGCCAGCAGGCTTACCTCTGTGCGGCAACAAGAAGAGGGACTGGTGTGCATACCGTCCTAAGCTCTAAATTTGCAAGGAATTTCTTTTGCGATGAGCTATGGAGTCTTCTTTTATGCGTTTGGTTAACTAGAGAAATTCAAGCTTTATACATTTTATTTAAACTACCAAAGAGAGTTCAATAGGTATTCGTGGATATTTTTCCACTTTTCTCTAGTGTATAAAAGATCAATGCTAGTGGATTTTATTCAAAGTTTGCGGTGGGTCGGCGATGCCTTGTGTACATGAATATGACTGTTTCTCAGACTACTGAGATATATCGTTGCCTTGATAGAAACACGATTTTAAACTGTTGGGAAATGATTTCCTCTAACAGCTAGAGAGGGCTCTGTTTATTAACACTTGGCTGTTTTTGGAAGGCACAAACTGTACACACGTACAGAAATGAAAATGTCAGGTCCACATTCACTGTGGAGTAACCTGAACCACGCGAGTTGTGAAATATATTTGCAAATTATACTTATGTCACAAGTTCACTTTTGTCATTGTTTATCTGTTCTGTACAATCAAAATTAACCAGGAGCAAAAACATGACTGAGAACAATTTAAAAAATGTTTTTATTTTATTTATTTTTTTCTTTTGCATTTATTCATTCATGTGTGCTTGTTGTGTATGAGAGTTTACAGATATGTCAGGATGCGACCATTGGCTGAATTTGGACTGTTTAAGATTTTCCAGCAAGGGTGCTACTGAAGCTTTCCCCTTTGCTCATTTCTTTATTAGCTGCACTTCCCTCAAGTGTTTCCCCTCTGTGTTTCGTGAGTGTATGTGAGTATGAAGTATTGTGGTGGTAGATAGATTCACATGTTGTCTTTAAATACTGTAATCTGCGTAGCAATGCCAAATATTGTAATCTTTCCTATTTTTGTTTCACTCTCTAAACAAGTGTACAATATTGCCGTACTGAATGTTTGATTGTTAAACTATACAAATTTCTTTTCTACTCACTTTTTTCCTTTTGTTCTTGTAAAGTGATAAATGTTGCGCAATCTAGGTAGGATTAGCAGCATGCTTACTGATTAAAAAGACTGAAGTTTGTTTTTAGATATTTCTGTTGAAATTTTCTGCTGTAAACACAATTTGTAAAGACTGATGGCTTTTAAAGTTGACTAATTTAAAAGATACTATAAAACTTAAAGGTACAGTGTCGTAAATTTGAGCGTGTAATGGTGACACATCATTGATCTTGCGTACACATTCAGTTTGTCTTGTGGGAAAATAATCACTTCCATGTTCTCAAGGACATGACACTGGTGACTATGAGGAACAACTATGGCACGCTGGGTAAGATTTTAAAGAACAAGAGGAAATGTGGCCGCTACAGCTGGTTTAGGAAGTCATTTGTAGCTTAAATGCAGCATTCTTCTGTGAGAGAGAGGAAAAGAATTGTTGGTGGGCACAATAGTAAATGAGCACATAGTTCACCTGCAACAGACTGATTAGTAAACTCAGAAAGGTCATGAAAATGTATTCAGTAGATGCAAAGAAAGAAAACTAAAATGACTCTGAACATCCAGAAGCTTATATCCTTTTCTTTGGCTGTAATCAAAGCGCATTTGAATAAATTTAAATGTCTTTATGAGCATACAGCGTCTTTGTCTTTTGTCCTAATGAAGTCACATACTTTAATGGATAAAAGTGTCATTTATTGGATTTTTTTTACTTGGATAAACAAATCGTTTGTCACGGAAAAGGTTAACGATAAAGTGATTTGTCCAATTCCCGTCACAAGTACGATTCCGCTATGACTAAAAAGGCAAAGATAGTGTTAGTACGTTGGTCTTTCTATAGTTAGTGAGGAGTACAACTACCTGTTAAAATGGTGGTGAAGACATATTGTTGATTTGTTTTAGGGCCTCTCTTAACTGCAATTTAGCAATCTTAGAAGTCTTTGTGTCGCCTTGAGACTGGCTTTGTATTTTTAGTTTAAAAATTATTTTTTACCTTTGATTTGGCCCTGCATGTGTCATCTACATTGCCCTCTTGTAGTCTGATAGTGTAATCAGCAAATTAGGGCTGACCCACATTCAAATCTGTTTTTTTTTTTTCTTGTAAATTACTCGTCTGTTATCATCATTGTTATGGAGGGTTTTCTTTCCCCGGAAAATGATCGAGATCATTTTATCGTCCTGCTTTAGTCAAAACAGGCAGTGTCATTAAAGGCTGACTTATGATGCAGCTGTTTTAAGAAACTGATTATTTTAAATACACAAGAGGAACCTGAGCACTGTAAGTGAGGTGTATTCTGGAAAGCTTCCAAAGATTTTTACTCTTGCCCACATTGAACACTGAATAATGCATGTAATGAACAGTCGGAACTATGTAAGTTTCAGATTGAGAAAATAGAGCCACTCCATTTTTAAAATAATGCTAAAATGCAAAATATTTTATTTGCCAAAGGTGTTGAATTTCTGATGAGGTTTGCGTGAGATGTTATCTTTTGTGAATCATGAATGTGGGGATAATTTAAATGTTTTTTTTGCTGTTGGTGGACGTGAGATTCTTCTGATTTACTCAATGCTTTGTGGCCTTGTTTTTGTAGCATTTTTGTGCATTGTGTATCTGTACTAGGCAAATAAATGTGATGTTATTTCAGTCTATTCAACTGAATCTGAACTCAAACAAGGAGAATTGAGGTTAAATTTTGAATTTTGTTGTTGATTTCCCAAGTTTTCACTAGTCAAAATGTCAGATCTCTCGAAAAGCAGCATATGTCTGCCTGCAGCTATTCAGCTGAATTTGAATGCTGCTGAAACTGATGTAAAATATGTGGCAGTTGACATTACTTGTTCCTTTGTCATTTCTATTCTGATGAGATTCATATTTTGTCTGCTCTCCTTTTGCTGAGGCGGGGAAACCAGTGCACAAATGGCACAGAAAGTAGGGCATGAGACAGACTATTAAGATTTAATTATGGCTGATGCTAAGGTGAGGAAACTGCACTATGGGAAGCCTAAGCAAGTGTTATTTACCAGTCATTTTAAAGAAAAGAGAAGGAATCACCGAATTCATCTCAGTTATATTTACGTTGTTTTTTACGTTTTTTAAAACGGGACAGTAAAACATTCACCATTTATTCTGCCATTTACATTTAAATCAAGTTAAATAATCTAAATGCAGCACTCTGTATTATTTTGTTCAGGGTGAAAGGTTTATGGCAAGCTTGATAAATATCACCCCATGTTCTCTTGGTGTCTTGGTAGGGTCCTTTAGGAGCAGAGAAAGAATAACAGAGTGACATGTCAGCTATTGTGTTGAGTCAGAGAAAATCGGGGACGTAAACAATAGAGAGCTAGCTATTCAGCCTTCTCACGGAAGCTCTAGTTTAGTGCTTAACTCCAAGCTTTAGATTCATGCACACACACACACACACACACA